AAAAAAAAACTGTATCTTTACTCTTGAGACATTTGTGAGATTTACTCAACGATGCAGATAGATTGGAAATTAAAGATCTTTCTTTTTTTTATCCCTTTCATCTTTAATTAGTGGTATTCTACACGATGATACGCGTGTATCGCGAGTTTTGTAATTTTCCAGGAAGGTATAAAAGTGAGTTGGCTTCGAATAAACTACGCAGCTCTTTTGATACAAGAAAAGAGGTGCAATTTCACGTTACGGTTAAAAGCAACGGTTTACGTTAGTTAATTGCCGTAAATGTAAGAGTTAGTGCGTCTTTTCCAGAGAAATATTAATTACCCCTTACTACCCGTGGTATATATTAATTTCAACTAACTAACTGAAAGTGAAATGTTCACGGCGTTCTGCTTGAAATCGAATACCATCGTAGTGTGTTTTAGAAAATTATCGGGAAATTAATAGGGAGATGTAAATTATCACAAGGAATCAAGATTCAATTCGTCTTCCGTTGCGTTTTAAAGTTCACGATGCTATTTAACGGCGCATACTGATTTAAATTCGATATAAACTATATATCGAGCTGTATTTAAACTTTTTAATTACGCTTCTTCTCTTCATGGCATCGGACTTATTGGAATGATTAAGTTCTATTGTAAAAATGAAATTTAAAAAGCGTTTAATAATACTGATCGCTGAAACGAAGTAACAATGATTTCCTCCAGTAAAAATAAACGTTATTTTATTTTCTACGACGACAATTCGCAATCGTATATTATAGAATAAAAAGTTCTATACTACCCGGTAAATGTAACTGTGAAGCTCTCTTTCGCTTAAAATTAGAGGGAAACCAGATACGATTTAAAATTAAAAAAGAAAAATGATTTTTACTCACCGCGCGTGAACGCGTGACGAAATTTAATATTGGACCTTGTCAGCCAATGACACAATGATCTGAGGGCATAACTGTTGCTCTTCTCGAAATGATGCACGAATGTTAAGATGTGACGCGTACCGTACCAACGGACAGACGGTGCACGACTGTGCGCCGAACACCCTCGCAATCTCCCTTTTATGGGCTTTCTCACGGCGCGTCCGCTCGTACGTCGACTATCGCTACTTCTCTATCCTTTACACTCCCCATCGAATAACACCATTCACGGAAATATAGTTTATCATTTTGCACAATTATTTTTTTCTAAAAATTATTTTTCGGTCAATTACAGAAATAAATTAAAATTTTTATAAAAATTTTGGGAAAGAGGAAGAAATTCTTTGTTCCAAAAGGGGACAATAATTAAATATAAAACACTACGATAATTTTGATTAAAGTAAAAACAACTTTTTATTCTACAGTTCGTGTACGTACAATATCTTATATTGTATTATAATAAAAGGTGTATGAGCACATTGTTATGGTAATTTTCTTTTGGCTGGTTCTTCGTGTACCCTGACTTGAAGCGTGGAACGTGGCCCACACTTCCATACATTGCCATCTTTGTCAAGTATACTCGCACTTGCTGTGACTTGATACTGTCCACCACTGCTATTTATGTTATTGTTGACATTGGTAGTATTACTTGCACATGCTACTGTAGCCGTACATGGACTCCCTAATGAAAGCAGGAATTCACAAGCGAAGAAGTCGCGATGTGGCATGACGGTTTGTTGTAATTCATTCGCATTAGAATCCTACAAGTAAGCATGAATTTAGTATAAAAGTATAGTTTATTTACTGTAACAAATATTAATTTGTACCTTTTGATCTGAATTAATCTTTGATGGAGGCGTAGTAGAAATAGAAATACAAACAGCAGCGACTGAACGATACAAAGAAGCGCGCCGACCATGTCGTAACACCCCTTCGACTTTAATCGCTAATTGACTTCCTTGAGGAACAGATACCGGTTCACCGAGAACGCGAGGTTGTGGTGAAACAGATAACTTGACACTAGTTGCTTGCAAAGCTTGGAAATAATACCGGGGTATGGGTAATCTCATTTTTGTTCCAGCTAATAACATCACTTGCGAGACTAAGCAGTTTATTCTCGAATGACTGAGCGCTGCTGCTTTATTTTCACCTATATACGTTGGCGCTAAACGACGTAGCTCGGTACAACAACGAGCCAACTGACGCATTTCTACAGTATCGCCAAAATTAAAATTAATTTCGCTCTGATGATACGTCTGAATTCCCGTACCACCGCAAACACGCTCGACACTATTTGCCAACAAACGACAGATCTCTTGTAATCTGTGTGCGGTAAGTCAAGAAAAACTATACTGAAGATATAAATCAGAAATTGAATGCATATTATAAAGGATACGCTCGTATGTTTGTTAATGATCCAGGGTCAGCATCAAAAGCTGATTGATAAAGTTTCTGATAATTCTCTGCGCAGTTTTTGAGTTCTTGAGCTGATTTCCTCAACTTTTAAATAAACATCTTTGTAAATAATATATTTAAAATGAGACTGAAAATGTAAAGTAAGATAAAATACCTGATTGGTGACACGTCCATATCGTTGCAGATCATCTTTTGTAGTTAAAACTACTGTACATGTAATAGCAGGTGGTGGAGCTGTACAAAGAGATCTAACACATATTTATATTTATATGGTGTCTAAAAATAAGAAGTAATTTTGTGATGTTTATTTAAAATACCTGCATGAATGTAAAAGCTGTACAATAGCTTGAAGAAATTCACACCGTAATTTCGAGTACTCGCTAGCAAATTGCAAACTTCGTAATGGTGTACTAGCAGCTTTTAATGAAGCGCACGCACTCGCATAACGAGCAATAGCTCCATTTAACTTCTCCACGGTATGAACTCTTGCTTTGCTCTCTATTTCTTCTGTTTTTTCCCTGTAATGATTTGAGGAACAGCGATATATTTTTATAAAATGAGTTATTGAAAACAAGTAAAGACTAACATGAGAAAACTTTCAGCTTTTGTAACCAATTCTAAACCAGATAACCAAAAATGTAATTGTTCAGATGCAACTGTTTCCTTTAAACTCCTAAATATTTGAGTTGCTATCAAATGGTGACCATATCTTGCAGCACTACGCGCAATCCGATATTTCGCCCAGCCATCTACATTTTTAATAACATCTTCTACTGCTTCCAAACATTCTGAATTCCATTCATATCCTCCAGTTACCATTTGAAACAATAACGTACACAGCATTACCTTTAAAAGAATTTGTTTAAATTTATTAACGTCTTATAAAACATGCATATCTTTTATTTAACTTTACCTTCGTATGTACATGTACAGTTTGTTTAAGTTTTGTTAATATATCTGGTAAAAGTAGAAGTAATGTATTTTCTCCTAAACTTCCAATAGCACCCAATGCTTCGCATAAAACAAGTGCTTGTTTCTCACTTTGAGCATTTTCTGCATAAGTATTAAAAAGTGTACTACCGATAGCATCGACAAATATTGAACAATGGCTAGGTTGCGCTCGACATAATTTTACTGTTGATCGTAAACAAACTTTTAACTGGTATAAATACTTGTCATCCAACGCTAATACTACAATTAAAGATTCAAGACAAGATACAACATCCTGTATACCATAGGCTGGTAAACTTTCTTCATAGCTGTAAATAAAAGATTAGGACTGCAGTTATACATAAATCAATTTTTCATTCTAAAACTACAAATTAAATATCATTAATTATGTACCAATAACATGCAACTCTTGCTAAAATAGTAATTGCTTTTACAGCGATGAACGGATCAGGAGAGTAACAAGCATTTACACACAATGATAATAGAGGATTTCCTTCTTCCCTGTTTGCATCACATGTTACTGCACTCTGACTAAGTACCTGTATCAAATTAATAAAAAAAAGTTTTTGTAGTTCCTAATATCTAAAAAAAATTTTCACAATTTTTTATGTTATAAAACTGTAATGTTATATTTTGATACAATTATAAACAATAACCTCGATTACGTCTAACGTTCGTATAAGAAGATCTTTATTTCCAGCACCATCTTGTAAAAGTGTCGTTGTACTTTCTAAAATATGAAACTTATGAAACTTAAAGCACTTATGAAACACCTCCTTTTATTTATCATAGAAAATCATAGAAAATTATGTATTTATGATATTTACCTATCAAATTATTAAGTGCTCCTTGTGGCCATAAATGTGCTCCTCTCCTTGCTAATGAATGCAATAAGTGTAAAGCATGTCGTTTGATGGTTAATCTTGGATCATCTTGTAAATAACGTAACAAAAGTGCAACTTGTTGTGGAACATCAATTAATGTTGCGGAAGCTAATGTACTTAAAGCACTTAATGTAACTCTAACAAATTCAACTGCTGGGTAACTAGCAAGAAGTTCCATACACAATTCATTTACCTTTAACAAATTTACAATATTAAATATTATTAAAAAACTTGAAGTTAACATTTACATACCATCGAAGCTGTAAAAGTATCATGATGCATATATTGTAAAATTGGTATGAGTTGTAATTTCATTGATGCTGGTGTTGCTTGACCTCTAATCATATCAGATATTTTACTACACATGGAAACAGCAAACAGTTTTGATTGTGCAGCAAACATTTGGGCAGCATATATCGCAGCTCCAACTTCAACTGAATCATGAGAGTCTAATGATCTTCTTATACTATGATGAACCTTGCAAATTAAGATTAATATTTCAATTTTAAAATTTATATGTATCATAAAATACAAATTAAGATATAAAAGGCTTCACCTGTTGTCTTTCTGGTATAATACCAGCTACACTACCTAACGTTCGCAAAGTCAAAGCTCTAGCAACAGGATCATTAGAATGTATAACACTATAAATACGTCTCACAAATTCATCAACGTTTAAAATTTTATCTAAATGCTTTTCACTTTGCTGGCACACTCTAAGAACCCAAACACGTAAAAAATTGCTACCAGTACGAAAAACTTCTGCTAATTTCAACAGAGAAGAATTTATTAATATAGGAAAAGGATATTTCTCGAATAATCGAGGAAATCGTACTATGGCTTCACATTGTTCACCAATCTTCGTTGATCGCAAACCTAAAAAATATTTTTTATTGTATATAAGAAAGAAAAATTGATGAAAAAGATTAATGCAAGGTTAAGTTAAAAACCATAAACATACCTTTATCTAACTCTATAAGTGCAGTATTTGCATCTTGTTCTGGTTCACCAAGTCCTGTGTCGTTAAACGCATTCATTCGCATACCAATCATTATTTTTAAAACATAAAATATAGTGAATAAGAATAAAATGTATTTTCATTGAATTTGTACACAACGCTAAATTCAACATAAATGGACTACACGTGCTTATGTATATATGTATGTACGTATCATCTATACATTATAAGTGAGAAATTATGTCTTTAAATAAAATTTGAAAAAATTGCAGAAAACATTTAAGAAAATATTTAATGACAGATTTTTCAATTAAACTACAGTATACTATTTTAACAAGTTATATTTTCCATATATAATAAAGACATGTAAAAATGTCTTTTATCATTATTAATTTATCATTATCAAGACTTGATATTGTTAAAATTATTATTAAAAGTTAATTATGTTCGTTATCTCGATTCAATTTTACATATTCTATATAATTTATAATTCGAATAGTTGAGAATCACTGATACGATATATATCGAACGACTATCTCATGGGAATAAAGGTTCTATGTTCACACCAGTGTAGTTGACAATTAAACTTCGACAAGTAAGGTCGTATTTACGCTTTTACAAAAATAAGAAAATAAAGAAAACACACTTTATATACTTGTCATATTTACAAAATATTAAGTTCCATAAGAACATAGTGTTGAATAGAAGATACATTTAACCGGCTCAGCAATGGTAGATTACAGCAAATGGAAAGATATTGAGGTAAGAACCTTGATTTTGGTCCAGTATGCTTATGGAATATTCTAGAGAGTAATAATAGAAATTTCTACTCTTTATTCGTATATTTTAAAAAATAGTTATAAAATTTAGAAGCACTTGCTATGATCATAACCAAAATTTTAGATATTTCTTCTTTCTAGGTCACAAATTCAAAAAAAATTTGCGGCATACTTTGTTGTACTAAATCAAATATTTTCATGCATAATATTTAGTTCTTTTTTTCTGTTTATATCAAACATTTGAGAATTGATGTATTTATAATAATTTATGAAATATATTATGCGTGTAAGTAATATGTGTACATGATGCTAAAATTTATATTTATCAGATTTCAGACGATGAAGATGATACTCATCCAAATATTGATACACCATCATTATTTAGATGGCGTCATCAAGCAAGACTTGAAAGAATGGAAGAAAGGAGACGTGAGCAAGAGGAACATGAAAGAAAAAAGGCAGAGTATGTTAATTTTTAAACATGAAGTTATGTAAATTATCTGATAATAATATTTTACCATTACTAATTAAAAAATTTATATTATTAACAGAACTCGACAAAAATTGAAAGAAACAGAAGAAAAAATTAAAAAGTTAGAAAGTGAACAAAACGGGGCAGATTTAACTGAGTTAAAAAAAATTTTGCAAGATCTTGAAAAAGAAGAAATGAAGATTAAAGAAGCAGAAGAGGAAATAAAAAAAAAAGAAAAGTTAACACCTTGGAATGTTGATACTATTGGTCAGGATGGATTTACAAAAACGGTGATTAATAAGAGAGCACCATGTAAGGGAGATGACAATGGTTTGTCAGATGAAGAAAAAGAAAAGAAAATGAAAGAATTTGTAAAAGAAAATGAAAAGAAGTTGAAAGAATTTGGTATGTTGGGAAGGTATGAAGATAGTAAGAAATTTTTACAAGATAATCCTCATTTAGTGTGTGAAAATACAGCAAATTACTTGGTTATTTGGTGTATTAACTTAGAAATAGAAGAAGTAAGTATATAGATACTTGAATATTTATAATATTTATAGATATACAATTTTATAATTGGTCGAATCTATTTTATTAATGTATCATTAATTTCAGAAACATGATTTAATGGAACATGTTGCTCATCAATGTATATGTATGCAATGTATTTTGGAATTATCAAAACAGTTAGATGTTGATCCAAGAGCATGCGTAGGTTCTTTTTTCAGTCGTATTCAGAATGCTGAATTAGAACATAGAAATTCTTTCGAAGATGAATTAAGAGCATTTAAAGAAAGAATACGTAAGAGAGCTGCTGAAAAAGTAGCAGATGCTCTTAAAGAAGCTGAAGAAGAGGAGAAAAAAGCACGTCGAGGTCCTGGTGGCCTTGATCCTGTTGAAATATTTGAAAATCTACCAGAGGTAAAAATAAATTTACTATAAGTATTTCTACTTATTGTGTGATATAACATACGATTACTCTAATATGAATACATTATTTTTAGCCTTTACAAAAATGCTTTGAAAGTCAGGATCATGCTTTATTGCAAAAAACATTAGCAGAGATGCCACAAAAAGAAGCATTTTATCACATGAAACGATGTGTTGATAGTGGTCTTTGGATACCAGATTCAAAATCTAAAGAATTGATAGATGGAGGAGTTCCTGCGGACAATACAAAAGAAACCTCGGCGGCTAATCCTGAATAACGCGTGTTTGTAAATTATATGTGTTGATTTTTGTCTCATTTATGCAAGTATATATATTCTTGAATACCATGAATATGTTACAATAAAACATTGTCATTCGACAATGAATACAAAATTTTTATCTTTGTTGGTTTTTTCTTATTGATAATATTATACTATCGTTATGCTTTGAATTACTTTAAGACTGAATTGTCATATAATTTCGCGTTACTATAAGAAATGTGAATATTACACATTGTTAATTAAACAGAATAATTATCTACTGATAATATACTTTACCCCACATATTATATTGAATAATTAAAAATTACTTCTAATATGAGCATTTACAGGTATTAACATTTATATATGTGCTAAGTAATATATGTAGAATACATATATGTGTATATAAATATAATTGCGTTTGCGTTATATAAATACTTTTTATCTTTCTCTTCAAGTTGTGTTATATGTATATTGAAAACTGTAAACAATCTAAAGTTGTAATGTAAATAAAAAAAATATATTTAATTCTCTCTTTTATAAATTTCTTAAATAAAGTACACTAAACGAAGCTTCTAGTTCGTGTCATAGTTTCAATTTTATTTTTACAATTAAGACAGGTTTAAAAAGTAGATCAAACAAGTATTAGTATTTTAAATTTAAATATTTATATATATATATTTTTATTAATTTTTAATATATTGTTGATTTATAAATTTACAGATTTGTTTTGCGCGCCTTTCATCAAACGAGATATCGATATGTGAGATCAAGCGATATGGCAAGAGATCGAAATTTCGACCAGAAATCGCAAGTAATCGTATATCGAACCCGTTAGCCTTTCTTCCTTTTCCGGTATGATGTGCCACGGTTGCTTGGGTAATATTTTTCGTCTTTCATTCTCGTCATAATACGTTAATCTCACCGCCTGCGAAAGCACAAGCTGGTTTTCATTGGACCGGGTAAAACTACTTGTTCTATTAGAAATAATTTTTTTCCTGTTCTATCTAATTTTTACTGTTTCAATTCAATCAAATTTGCCTTCTATCTCTACCCAATCTGATGTAAAACAACAGCTTTTACGTATTATATTGCTTTATAAAACCGCTTATTCACTTTGCATGTTGATACCATTGACGTTCATGTAATATTCATCTTATATATAATTTTATAATTACATCTTTTTTAAGATTAAGTCTCTGAGCTCAAAAATAATATTGTATACTTATGATTCTTATATATATCTCCATATTAGTCAAATTTTTCTACGAGGTACCTATATGTAAATTTTGGTGTTGATCAAGTCAAATTTAACTATTACAACTGAAATAATTATATTTCCTTTTACATTTTAATGTATAATTTCTATAAAATGAGAAAAGAGTATTAGATTGAATTAAGCGTATATACGGATTTCATAGCATAGAGTACTCGATCACCGCAATTGCGTATATACAGAGCAATCGAAAAACTCGCCAGGCATTCTGGGTAAAATTTCCGTGAGTAATCAAAATGGCTGTCATACAACGATTTCCGTTTTGCGACTACGTTTTAATGTAATTCGTTAAAACGATATTTTTTTTGGAAATATTGGGGGTAAAATCGTAATATAAATATTTATTTTATCAGAAAACAGTTTTTTCGGAATTTGATATTAAGTTGGTGAAAGATGTAATTTTTATTACATTTGTAAGGCGTTCATTTTACTAAAGGGTGTAGATGAAAGAAGGAGAGGGGGGGGGAGCGCGCGCGCGTTGCACTATGGGTTGGAGACAGGACGGCGAGAGACGGTCGGGGAGAGCGAAAGAACGAGTTCAGTTCACAAAATGGCGGCCAAGCTCAGGCCTGTGACCATATAGTACGTGAAAATTCGATAATTTTGTATGATGTAGCGACTTTATACATCAATAGTCGTTTAATATTGCGGACACGTATATACACAGCAGTTTAATTATTAAATTAACGTGATTTTGTGTGTGGTGCGTGTAATATCGAGATATCGGTGCGACGCGCAGACGGAACGATGCAGGTGAGTGGTCGAGTTCGAAAATTGTTTAAGTTACAGCTTTTCTTCAACTTTTTTTTAGCAATAATTGTTTGTTTTCGTTGCTAATACGAGCATCAATGTTGTTTTAAAGAATAATTTGCGTGATATAGCCACAGTGTTGTTTGGAATAGGAAAAAATCGCGTTGTCACATACGTTTCATTAAACTACAAGGAGAAAAATCCTCGTAAAAATGAAAAAAATCATTGGAATTTTGTTTAAAAGGTTTCTGCGTATAGGGCGGGGTCTTACTGACCTTATGAGCTCAGGGACTTGTCTTCAGTAAATCACAATTTTCTGCAATTTTACATAGTTTTCAGCCTCTTAATAACCTATAAGTTTGTTTACATTCATTCATTTTGACATTTATCACTTAAAATATCATTGTTCCACACTATTTTTTATAAAAAATGATTCCTTGCAATCTCCTTTATCTTGGGCCTATGCTTATTCAAAAATTTTAAATAGACCCATTTTTGTAAATTAAGCTCAAAGATTGATGCACATTCTCTGCATTATAGTTGAGACTGTGTAGCACAATCACTTGCAAAAGTTGTAGCAATTATATGCTTTTCATGTGGAAAATATTTCATATAATCTGGGTTTTTCCTTAAAAAGAAACCAGAGATTCTTCTCTATTTCAAGAATTTTTCATATATTATGAATCTTTATTTATCATATGTTTTCCATAAAACTTGAATTTTTATAAACTGAATTACATCATATGTTTATTTTACATTTACAAATAATACAGAGATAATACATTTGTAACTTTAAATGTTATTTTTACTAGAATTTTACACAAATAAGGTATAAAATTAATAAGTACAATGATTTGTATAAATGGGATGTTTACATTCGTTCCCTATTAGACATATTTCTTCTTGTTATATAATATTTAATACATTATGACAAATAGTATGTTTTTACCACAATATACGAAACAAAACTTGATATTGAGACTTTTAAGAATAAGAATTGATTATGTAAATATCATAAATAATTTGATATTCCTTTATGTTATTTACATGTTAGAAAACAAGATATGGAACTTCATATGTGAAAATTTATTATTCCTCAAATTGTAAAGATATTATTAATGTACATGTTATGTACCAAAATATATCTTTATTACATGTAAGAGTTACTCATTGATATTGATATCATCATTAATAAAGTATTGTGTAAGATTTAGGATAACTGTGTGTTAATTTTCATATTATATATCAGTAATACTTGTAAAAGTTTAAAATACTTTTCATTATCATGAAAAATCTTAAAAAAAAAAGTCAAAATTTGTTGCAAAAGGAGCAAAACAATTGAAGAAATAATTCTGTTACAAAGATTTTGTTAGCAGAAGCACATAGTACTGTTATAATTTTAGATATAAATTGTTTGTGTAAAGTGTGATATAATTTATTTTCAAACAGTATTGTGCTTCGTACTTAAGTTATATTTTATGTTATCAGCAATATAAGTTTGGGAATATTTATCTCTATGAGTCTTCTATTACAAGTATTTAACTAACTATAGATTCTGATATTGAAATTATAACTTATAACTACTCCAGAATTATTGTGAATAAATTTTCTCCTTAACTCTTATCTTATTTAAGAAACAGATGTAAATCTTTAAGTTCAGTCTAATGTTATGCATAATGTATTTGCTGAATTGTTTAATAAATATGAATAGTACTTAAAATGTTGAATTATGTTATTCTGAAATACCCATTATACCTTATAGTGGTTATTTGCAAGAAAATGTTTTATATATAAGAAATTCTGCAGTACTTTTGCTGCAGTTAAAATAGTTACATGCAACACACAGAAAATATTAAAAGATGAATTCATCTGTTTAAAGCATTTTGATCAATTTCTGATTTTTACAAAGAATATTGTTTTTAAAAAATGGAATTTTCAACATGTGTATGTAACTATTTTCTTCAAAATAAATACATATGTTTAAACATATATTTCCTTGATATAATTGAATGTATCCAAGGATATAAAATGTACCAAAGTTTTAGTACTTTATTGAAGTGTCTCTAAAAGGCATAATGAAAAGGTTGGAAATCAAGCAATTCTTAACTACAAAATGGTGGTCAAGAATTATAAAATGGAGGAGATATCTTCTTGATAGATGGCACTGTTAATTTATGTGCTATGTTGTAAATATTAAAAGTATGTTAAATTATAAAAAGCACATTGTGCTAATATCTTAAAAATATGTCAGAATAGATTTAAAGAACTACTATAAAAGACATAAATAATATAATTAAAAAATATATTTTTATTATAAATATGATGAATAAAAACTATTCCAAACAACAACTGCGACTTGTATTTTTTAAAATAGAACAATGCTAGATTTGTCTGATTAAATTACAGAAAACATTAGAATCTGAGTCTGGTAAAGAATCTGGATCTGATTCTGAAAATGAAAGTAAAAGTGATAGCTCTTCTTCTGGAAGTAATACAGGATCTGGTTCTGGCTCAGAAAGGTGGGTACTGAAACTATTATTATCTAATCCCTTTTTTTCAGAAAGTCCAAGACATAATAAGCTAATATCCTTATTTTTTTAACAATTGTTTACTCAAATATGATGTTATACAATTATTACCAATATAGATAATACATAGTAAGATGATAATAATAATAATCAAAATTTTATCATTAACAGTACCAAATGATATTTCTTTATAATGTATTTGACTTTCTGACATATGAGGGATTACTTGACATTAATTATTTAACTATGTGTATTGCTATAGCTTTATATAGCATTAACATTGCTTTGATAATCATGCTAATTTAATGTATCCCTTGAATTTTATATAAGCACAATCTTCAAGTTTCTGTTACTTATGCAATAGTATCTGTTTTCTTGTATATTAAAACAATCTAAACACTAGGTGAGCTAGTATCCTACTGCTTCTATTCAGTTTACTTCTTATGATAATTTGTCCTAATACATTATGCATAGTGTATGTTAATGTAGATTGTACAGAACATAAGGAAAAATAAAGAAAATAAATATTTTCAGAAATGTGTTGATATATCAATACTTAAAAACAAAAAAATAGTAAAATGAAAATTTAATATTAAGATTTCTGAAGTTATTTTAGAATATTAAAATATTAAAAGATTTGTAATTGGTACATATTGCCAATTAATTAATTAATTAATATATATGAATAAATTAATATTTACTCTTTAAATAATGCTTTTGTACTTATTTATATTTTTTAGTCCGAACCATTATGTAATAAAAGATTACAAAATTATATTTCAACAATTGAGAATCCAATCAAAATGACAATTGTCATTTTAAGTTAAAAATCAATGTTGTATATCAGAAAAATTTGATATTTCTGTATTTTGTTAAATATATTTTAAATTACAATGCTGTAAATTATGTAAACAATGATAGTGAAATAAAACATTGCCTGACTGCAAATGCTGCAGTGACTCTAGCTCCTCAAGTGGTTCCGGGTCTGGATCAGGTTCTGATTCTGATAAATCAGACAAGTGGGATGCACCTGCACAAAGTTCAAATCACAGCACAGAAACAAAAGTTAAGCTTAAAAATGAGTCTAGTCGTGAGTGGGATGAGAATCCTGACATTTATGGAATCAGAAGATCCGGCCGTTCTAGGAAAGAGCCAGAAAGGCTTGCTACCCAACGTGAAAGTGATAGCGATAGTCGCAAGAAATTTAAGAAAAGGGGGTAAGTAATATAAAGAAACTTCAGTAATTATCAGAAATTGAAATTATAAATTCTGTAATTCTTTCAATTATTTCTTATGAATTGAATAGATCTTGAATAAATCACATGATGGATAAATGCATTTTTGCTTTTGCTGTAATGATAATTTAGGATTTTTATGAAAAATAATAATTTATAAATTTATGACATCTATTTGAACAAATATAAAAAAGAATGAAGTTCTTTTTTATTTTTTAAATGTATTTCAATGATGATAATGTAGAATGATAATAATAACAATAATTTTATTTGTTAAATGTATTTCAATGATGATAATGTAGAATGATAATAATAACAATAATAATGATAATGATTGTAATAAAAATATTACAAGTTTTAGTTATTATAATTTGTAAAAGTAATTTTAAGTAATTTGGATTATATAATTTATAAGTAGCTATTTTTTAGTAGGTTTGTATCTTGAAATTTCAGCAGCAATAATAATTCTTTAAAGCTTTTATGTTAGTATGTATGCACTCTTCTATATTGCATATATTGTATATCAATGTGCTTTTGTATTTTTTATTTTTGATGTTTATATTTGTGTTCATTAAGCTTAATGCTTCAAGCAAATTTTTACATTATAGCACTGTTTGTTTGGTTTATTTCCAGTTTTGTTTGGTTGAATAAACTATTGCATTGTATTAAATAATTTTAATATTTATGATACTTTTAATTTGTATTATATACTTACTCATATGCATTTATGTAATTCATTAAAATATTTACACAAAAAACCATGTAATAAGTATAGAATTTTCTATTTGAATTTGTTGAATCACCTGCATGTATAAAATGTTACCAATAATATAATTACTACACCATAAAACAATATGATTTAGAAACTTTATTTTTTTTTTATTAGTAAAAGTAAGTAAAAATTATTACAAAAGAAAATATTTTTTTTTTTTATCATGTTAAATTTTTTTCTTTATCATGTTTATTAAATTACATTTCATTAAGTTGCCATATATCAGTATTAATTATTCATATTAATATTTTATTCAAGAAAATTTTTATATTGAGCATGTGAGTTAATCTGTATCATTTGATTTATATTTATTATTATTAGAAACCAAAGATAAAAATATGTATATTTTAAATGTATCACTAAAATAATAAATTTGTATCATACATATATCATTTAGTATTTTTAAAAAATACCAATATTTAGTTCATATACATATATATATTATTATATCATGTTATCATATACATATGTGTAATATTGCTTCTTTTTTTACAGTTCACATAATTCATGGAATTCGGATAGTTCAGATTCAGAATCTGATGATGTTGAAAGTAGAAGACCTCCACCTAGTAAATCGTTAAACAGACGCGCTGCGCAAAAAGCCAAAGAAAAGTCAAGGGCACGAAAAAAACGAATTTCGGAATCATCTGAAAATTCTTCTTTTGACAGTGATGATAACAGACGGTATTTTATTTTATTTTATAAATAAAGTTTTAATATATAAGTAAAATTATATAAATGGAACATTAATATCAATAAATTAATATTAATTTAATTAGACAAGTTACAAGAAGAACTGGAACTGCTATTAGTTATAAAGAAGAAAGTGAAGAAAGAACTGACAGTGAAGATCTTGTAGAGGTTGAAGAAGGTAGCACTGCAAATGCAGAACCAGATAATGCAGAAACTATTGAACGAATTTTAGGACAAAGAATTGGTAAAAAAGGAGGTTGGCTTTTGAAATAATTACAAGTTTTTTTATTATATCCTTATTTTTATAGATAGTTCTTTATAACATATATTCTTTCAGTTGTAGGAAATGTTACAACAATTTATGCTATAGAAGAAAATGGTGATCCAAATCCAGAAGATTTATCTAATGAAGAAACTGAACTGCAGTATTTAATAAAATGGAAAGGTTGGTCTCACATACATAACACGTGGGAATCAGAAGAATCTTTAAAAGCACAAAAAGTAAAAGGATTAAAAAAATTAGATAATTTTGTTAAACGGGAGCGGGAAATTAAACAATGGAGGGATTATGCCGGACCCGAAGACATAGATTATTTTGAATGTCAATTGGAACTTCAACAAGATCTTCTAAAAAGTTACAATAATGTTGAAAGAATTATTGCTGAATATAATAAGCCTGATTCAGATCATCCGGATTATTATTGTAAATGGGAAAGTTTACCTTATGCTGAAGCTACATGGGAAGATGGAGTATTAATTGTTAAGAAGTGGCCAGAGAAAATTAAAGAATTTCATGAAAGAGAAGAGTCAAAGAGAACACCAAGTAAACATTGTAAAGTTCTTAAATCTCGACCTAAATTCCACCAATTAAAGGGACAACCAGACTACATGGGAAAAGGACGAGATTTAACTCTTAGAGACTATCAAATGGATGGATTGAACTGGA